GGGGTCGAATTACCCTTTCACAGGGGTCGCCAAAGACCATCAGAAAACACATATTCACTCCACTTTTGAAGCAGCAACCTAAATATTTGTTATGGGGGGGGGGGGGGGGGGGGGAGTGTGGTGTGGGGAGGGGGTCACCACAGCATGAGGAACTGCATTAAATATTCACTGCATTAGGAAGGTTGAGAAATCCCTGATCTCGGATGATTGCCTCATTCCTTTTTCTGTTCCTCTACGATACTATCTGCACAAGAAAACATGCATACAACAGAGAACTTGTAACCCATACCAAGACCCAGTGTTGTAGTCAACCAATGGTGCTGTTACACAACCTCAAAATGATAGTGGCTGTTAGTTTTGTTCTTTTCATTTCAAACAATTTCATTTTAAAAACAATACACTATTGTGATCAGTTCCGTTACTGTGATAAACGGTGGGGAAACAGTTCAAAGCAAAATCAGAGAGATTTAACTAAATAAAGAAGTATATTCTGTTCATTTAGCTTCATGAAAGATATTCTGTGTAGTCACGTGGAACGTCAATTTGTAGCTGATGACAGCAGAGACACTGTGTGTGTGTGTGTACACACACACATATGATTGTGTAATATGTATGTTTGTGTGTAAGTATATGTGTGTATGTATGTATTTTGTGTATATAAACTTACACACACTCAAATATATAAGCACACATGTATATTTATATGTGTCTGTGTCAGTGTGTGAATCTATGTGTGTACATGTGTCTGTGTCAGTGTGTGAATGTATGTATATATACATGTGTGTGTACATGTGTCTGTGTATACTGTGTGTCTTGAAGTGTGTATGTGTGTACGTTTCTGTGTATATTGTGTGTTTTGAAGTGTGTGTGTGTATGCATGCATATGTGAGTGTGTGCATATGGTGTACATACATGTATGGAAACAACAACCTATACAAATGTGTATGCATTCATATGTGTGTACATGTATTTTTAATGAGTGATCAGCAAAATATTTTTTGATCCATTTATCTATAAATTAATGCACACAATGTAGAGGTGCAGAATTAAAATAAGACAGCAAACAGAAATCCCAACAACAGAGCGGCTTCTGATCAGAACATTATTGTATATTTTGCCTATTTATTGTTAATTCATTATCATCATTATCTGCTGTTCCAACATTATGTACATATAATTAATGATCAACCTGTACTAGTTTGAACAAATTTTATACATATATATGCGTGTGTATGTACGAGTCGAGGTGGCAGAGCGGCTAGACGCGCCGTTGATTGGAAGGTTGTGGGTTCGCTCCCAGGCGGAGCCGGACTTTTCTTCAAAAATGACCTTGGCTCCCAGTTCAACCCAGCCGTGAGTGGGTACCGGGTGCAGTCCCGGGAAGTAGAGGTGCTGTTGGTCTATAAAATATAGGTCTAGCCCTATATGCCCTATACGCCTAATTGCGTGGGAAAGGGTTACTTTATGAGTGTTTGTGTGTGTGTGTGTGTGTGTGTGTATATATATATAAGTATCTAAAGATAAAAGAGGTCCATGAACTCTTTCAGCTATGAACGGTCATGACCTTGTAGTTACTCCATGTTAGGGCAGTGGAGAGGGAAGGAGTCTCTTAAGCCTGAATGACCACAAAGTACAGCCATATCCTGTGTAGCTTGAGCTGGTTATTTTCACCCCCAACTTCCTTCGAGGGGTCTCCGTGGCGAAGTGGTCACGCCGTTTGCCTGGCGCTCTGAAGGTCATGGGCTCCTTTCATGGCTGTGCCATTCAGTTCACAGGCGCAATTTTTATGGAGATCCCTGGCGATCAGCGCTGGAGCTACAGAGGTCATTCTCCTGTGTGACGCTTTCAGCAGGCAGATTGCTGTTCTGCGGAGAGAGACTGAGCCATACGGGATAAACCCAATGCAATGATGTCAATCCTCCCACCTTTACCCATAAACAGAAAAAACTTTCATCTCCTTACAGAGGATTCGTATCCAGGTATACCCACATGACAGCCTAGCATTGAAACTATTCAGCCAGCCTCTACTATCAGAACTGGTATTCAGAGAATACTATGGGAAAATATCCTCTTGCACACATATAAAATTATGTAACTAACGATTCTGATAGCATTAATTAATATAGCAACTGTCTACAAATAACAGAAAACTATAAAAACTTTACTATTGACTAACCAATGAACAAGTATAGCGAGATGCGTGGTACACAGAGAGTTAAAAAAAAAAAAAAAGATCTGAAGCTATCCTCTGAATACCGTCCACATATTATGGCGGCCCAAAAACCCACACCCTGAAAAGGCCTCAATCACATGTAAATTGCGGACTTCTTTTCAGCGAATATACCGTGCCAAAAGTAGGATAAATTTCCAACGATGATGTCGTGAAACGCAATAAACCGCTAAATTAAACTCGTCGCCGACAGCCCCCCCCCCGCGCCGCTACGCACGGCGCAGAGAAGGGCTAAACTAGATGGTTGGGACTCATGAGCAGCAGCTACCACATCGTGCAGCTTCCTCATTTTATTTGTTCATGAGTCTCAGCCTTCTAGTTTAGCCCTTCTCGGCGGTGAAAACAGCGTTAATAATCCGGCACTTGTTCCGCTCATATTTAGCCGAGTTTCAATGGCGCCTCAGCTACAAAGAGCAGATTTTCGGGCACTGTTTGCAACTTCTGGGCTACAATTTCCATATATAAAGGCCTCAATTATTGGTAAGTAGTCGATTTCGTCATATATCCTTTTTTCGTTCCTTTTTATTTTCGAGTTCAAGTTTTTGACTCTCTACAACACACGACCTAATGAGGCCCTGTCAGGGTGTGTTTTTTGCCACCACAATATGTGGCCGTTATTCTGAGGATTGTCAGATTTGAAAAAGAACATAACTAACTGCAAGAATGTTCAACAAAGTTGCAAAACTGAAACATTTATTATGCACAATTGTCTATAAACATAGTAAAAACTGATCCCAAGCAAGAACTAGTGAAATATGATCATAAAAAACAATTTTTTCCCCACAGTTGGAAAGTATGAAATAAACAACAAAACAGTTAGTCAATCACATGTGTCATCTAAGCTCTTCTTACTTTTTTTCTGCTTTTCCCAAATTTCTTGAGTCCAATTAGATCTCATCGGAGACGCCTAACAAGTACTCAGTCACAAGGAACAAAGCATACATGCATCAACTTGCACGGCGCCAGTATACAATTTAGAATATAAAACACACTACACTGAATCTTGAAATAACAAGTCAAATGTTTATCAGAAAAATCAGATCACATCATGCATTGTTTGGGACACATGGGCAGTATCTGATCATACATGATGCACTGGTTGGCACTGAAAGAGATACATGATGCACTGGTTGGCACTGAAAGAGATACATGATGCACTGGTTGGCACTGAAAGAGCTATCTCAATGAAATGTTGAGAGGAGTTGTAAGCGTCCTACATATTTATTGACTCTTTCTAATGCACTGTGCAAGTTTGGAGTCTTGGAAGTGGCTTGGCGCTTGCTTGTCAATCAAGGGGTCAAAAGGTTACACAGGGGATCGTAATGGGCCCGAGGCTCGAGCCCTAGAATAAAAAGATCACTGATACAAAAAAAATTAACCAGCGGGCCACTTGCTAGGCAAAAAGCGGGCCGGATTCAAACCCTGCGTCACCAATTAATTACATCTTTCACCACTTCAGTAACAACTTCCAAAATTATTTTTAAAAATTAATAAATAAGTCAACATACAACATAACCTCACTATTTTCCCCCACAACACACATTTCTACAATGTATGTACACCTACATATAATAGAGATAAAAACTGCACATAGAAAAAAGAACTCAATGGTGGAGAGATAATATACTGCTAGATCTAATAACACCTGAAATCACCAAATGAAAAGAGAGCACCAATAACAGAAGAGAGCACCAATAACAGAAGAGAGCACCAATAACAGAAGAGGGTGCCAATAACAGAGTTGAAAGAATGAATGAAGCAATGAACTTGAAAGGATGGGAATACTGAAGAAAAGATATAATAAACACAAAAATCTCTTAAACAAAAGAGAGAGATGGAAATAGACCATGAGGTAGATGGAGAAGACAGTGAAAAAATAATACACAGGCAGACCTAAAAGCACCAGGAGGGATAAATCAGCTGGAATTATAGGTAGAGAGATAGATATCAAGAGGGATAAATGGAAGAAGTTGATATCTACAGCAATGAACCTAAGAAGGCCAAGGAAGACAGACACACACAAAAAAACCTGTATACAAACAAATTCTATGTATGTAGACAATATGGCAGACCACGAAGACGGCGAGAGATAATATACAGACAGACTCACAAACACTTAGAATCACCAACTGAAAAGATAAGATCTACCACAAAATAACCTATAACACAATTTTTTTAGGAAGCTTTCAATAACCTATTTATCGCCAGTGAGACCAGGTCCAATGGTTTAACAGGAAATGGAGTAGCAGGAAACTCAGGCCGGAATTAGAGATTTTAGAGACTTATGAAATTTGAGATAACAAGACTGTATTTGAAAAGTTTTAGAATTTTGTACATGAATAAATTCAGAATTTTGGGTCTGAAAAAACAAAAACCTTAAGACATTCCTTGAAAAAAGTCCTGGTACATTTTTTGAAGCAAAAATTAACAGAAGATACAGTCTTATTTTTGAGAAACACTGCAGGTGTTTTCTATCATACTATTGAAGAACACTGCTTTACAGCAACAGTATGAGACACACTGAACTAAAACTGCAGAAATATGTAATAGGATGAGCTAAAGCCAGTCACTGCTGTAGAAAGTATACACATATCAGAAGAATGGGACAGAACAAGTTAGCAAATATACAAGGTAATCAACAAGCTTATTATGAGTTGTCTCTAACAGAAAGATTAAACACAGAAATCTCGTCTTGCTGCGGCTGCCTTGTATGCCTTGCATGGCAGGCTAGAAAGCATTAAGGTGATGAATACTGCATGTAAGATCAGGTCTAGGCTATTGGATTGGTCTTCATTAGCTTTACGTCTGCCTCTACCATCTCTTTCACCAGTGTCTGAAAGACAGAATTTGAACAAGAGGAATATTAAACATACAGCACATAAGTTCAATATTTTCTGTTAAAAAAAATAAAAATAAAAAGAGAAAGAAAGCAACACAGTTATCTGATGGTGCAATTTGATTAGTTGACAGGAAAGCCTTTACGCCTAAAAACTATAGAGGTATTCTTGTGTGGAGTTTGAAAAATTTCGCTCATTAAATCATTCAGACTTTGAATGTCAAAATTATGACAAAATTATTATATTTTCATTAGCTATGAGTTTCTTTTTATTCTGTTTTTGAATACACATTCTGGTAGGAGAATCTCTTTCTTCCACAAACACTCTTCACCCCACTCTCTCTCTCTCTCTCTCTCTCTCTCTCTCTCTCTCTCTCTCTCTCTCTCTCTCTCTCTCTCTCTCTCTAATACACACTTCATTAGGTTTAAGCATGCTTCTACCATCTCTTTCAGAGTGACTGAGAGAGAAGGGGAGAGAGAGAGAGAGAGAGAGAGAGAGAGAGAGAGAGACAGACAGACAGAAAGAGAGACAGACAGAGAGAGATCAAACATTGTGGAATATGAAATATATAGTAGATGAGTTCAATATATTCTAGTATGAACATCCGTCTCCCACTAACTCAATTTTTGCATCTCTTGCACACATTTCATTGTCTCTTTCCTATACACTTTGTTTCTCACTCTCCTACTAAACACACTTATTCTCCCCCACACAACACTTTTCCACACTCCATTTCTCACAGTCTCTCTTAAATGTTTTCTCTTCCCACACTTTCTCACACACATTCTCTTCATGCCTCTTTCATCACTTTCTGGTTTAATTGATAGTGCTTCCCCTAAAAAAAAAGACCTAATCTACATCAAATATAAGCATTATTAGAGCCTGTCGCGCAGGAAAGGCTAAAAAAAGGGGGTCCGAAGCCACAAGAATGCCTTCAAAAACCCTTTAAAACAAGTACTTACTTGTCTGCATTGGAAGGGAGGGGGTAAGTAGGAGAGGGGGATACATTTAAAAAAAAAAAAGAGTATTGAAAAACATGAATAGAGTGAAGTATTAAAAGGAATAATACATTTCCCCGGACCATAACAAATATGTATCAGACGGCTCACGCTGTCACCTATATCACTGAGGCTAGGAGAAAATTTGACATCAACATGGCTTAAAAATAGTTATTTGGTTCACAAGAAAAACCTCCTAAATGTTATTTTTAGTAAATATATTCATCTTCTGACTTCACAAATGCTGCACAGGCACAAACACAACCAATGTCATTAACTAGGTGTCTTGTAAATACATCAATGTATAAATAGCAGGTTAGCACCACTCTCAGGGAACTGTATGTGCTAGGTTTTTGGCTTCCTAGGGCCAAAGGGTTTAGGTGGACATGAGTTATGAGTTAGATAATCTTTACAGCACTCCGGACACATCCAAAGGCGCTCAGATTCCCCTCTTAACATATTCATCAGCGTCGTGCGGTTAATAGTGCCATTCCTGTGTTGGTTAACAAGACTTTGTGTGCGTCCGGTGTGCTTCTCATGCTTAGCTGTGCCGATCTTTACTCCCAATTCGCATATTCTTAGCAGTGATGTGGACACGTTGCTTCCAAAATCCTCAGAACGTACTATCTCTCTAAGGGCAATGACAATGCGTGATCCATGGGCCGGCTATCTTCAATTAATGCAGTGCCTGCCAGTCTATCAGCTCTTTTATTACCAACAACGCCTGCATGCCCTGGGACGAATGTGAAGGTAACTGCACACACAGGAGAGTTTTGCAATGACTCAAACCACTGTCTGTGTAACCAGCCTGCCTCGACCTGCCGGATCATGCTCAAAGAGTCACTCAGCACACACACGCTGGAATAGTCCTGTAATTCCAGCGACATGAAAGCTTGTGTCACCGCCATCACCTCCATCATCATGCTGCTGGTTGTCATGGAGAAGGCACCGCTGGCTTCTTGAACTGTTCTGCCTGAAGAGCGCGCTGTAAATGCCCATGCACTCTTATGTCCACGTATAACCGACCCATCTGTGAAGATCACCACTTCTGTCTCATCTGACTTGTCACTGATAAGCGAGCATACCTCGGCATTGATAGCAGCTGGATTCTGCTCCTGACAACTCCTATTGAGTGTCACGACACAGGAGAATGTGAGATTGGGCGCTTTAGACGCTGGTATCCATTTCTCACCTGGATGGATGTCTGTAAGGCTACAGATGTCATCCTCTGCCCTACCCAGCCATGATTTGCCCCTTTTAAGCCTATTGCCCCTTTTCTTGAAAAGCATGTCATGCAAAGGGTGCTTCAGATCTGAGCTTATCTTGAGGTATGCATGAGCCCTCCTGATCCTGTAGTTCATGGTAGGGAAATCAAGAAGGTACTTCATTGCTACACAAGAGGTGTCTCCAGTGCACCCCAGAATAATGCTCATTGCTTCATTTTGCACCTTCTCAAGTCTTTCCATTTGAATATGGCTGGCAGTGAGGCTGAAGGATGGACATGAATGATTGGGAATAATAATTTTACTGGAAAATGGAGTCCCAAGAAATTCCCCCTGGAATTTGGGGGTTTGGATTTATGACAATATGCCAGAAGATGATAATGTCTCTTTTAGAATAAATGTAGGATGTTTATAACTAAAAAAAGACTTTTCCTGAAAAAAATTGTCAACTTGTTTTGGTCCCAGAGAGTGCTGAATCCAACATTGTGAATGCTAAAGTGTATGTATCCTACAGTAACAACTGTTTAGTCTCATAGAACTGACCAGCGCAGCTTCAGGAGAGAAGGTGTTATAGTAACAACTGGAAAGTTAGTTAGTTTGTCGACAGATTATTATCGTCACACATCAAACCACTGAGACCATAACTGCTGAGATCCCCTCTTCAGTATCTCCCTCAGCGTGTAGTGGCTTATGACACCAGTTCTGAGTTGGTTTACTATTCTTCTCTGGGCCCCAGTATAGCGCTCTTGTCTGGCTTCACCCATTTTGATGTTATGTTCGTGTAGTCTGTCAGTGTTGCAGATTCACAATCATTACTTGATCAAGCCACCTCCTCGAGGGCATTCAGTTTATCAGCCCTGTCCATTGCTCGTCCATTTCCCCCATGAGCATCACTTGCAAGTCTGTCAGCTCGTTTATTGCCCTTTACATCAGAATGCCCCGGAACAAACATGAAAGTGATTTTTGTCAGCCTACATCAATTCAAGGACTCCACCCATTGTCTACGTATGCCACTCTTCTTGATCTTCTTGAGCAAACAACTGGAAAATAAGGTGCTAACATAAGACTAGAATGGGATAGGGAAAGTAGACAAATGAGTATCACCAGAGTGTTACTGATGAAGTTATGGTGAATTCCTTAGTACTGAAAGTTAAACTGTCTTTTAGAGCAAACAACTGGTGCTAACATAAGACTAGAATGGGATAGGGAAAGTAGACAAATGAGTATCACCAGAGTGTTACTGATGAAGTTATGGTGAATTCCTTAGTACTGAAAGTTAAACTGTCTTTTAGAGCAAAAATGAATATAAGACCCAGCCTTATTTTGGGGCAAACCAGTATACAAAAGGAAGTCTCTTAACCCTTTAAAGTTAGCAGAGTATAAATCTTTAGAGCTAGACATTTAGAGGCTTATGACCAAGGGGAGTTAACCATAACATTGCACTGGTTAACATTTCTCAGTGACTCAAGGAGGATGCTCAGGAAGACAGAGCAGGGTTGGGTCCTGAGGCCGTGGTTGGTGGCTCTACAGCTTTCAGGGCTGACAAGGATTAGGTTCATTTTCTTGCCAAGACATGTAGGGGTACAAGGAAATGAGCAAGCTGATAGACTTACAGGTAGGGACTGCTGTAAAAGCCGGACAAGCGATGGCCCAGGCTGATTTACCGAATGCTCTACAAGATTTAAGACATTTGCGTAAACCAACTGAGAACTGTGAATCTGCAACCATGGTCAGACTGCAAGAACAGCAAGTTAAACAGGGTGTCACCAAACAAGAACAGTACGCAGGTAGCCAAAGAAGAACAACACAACACAGAAGTGGTGTCGTCAGCAGCTACACGCTGCAGGATTTACTGAGGAAGGGATCCGATCACTTATAGATTGAGTGGTTTGACGTGCAATGAGGATAATCTGTCGAGTAACTAACTAGTTAACATGATGACCGCCTAGTATTTGTGCCTACGGAAAGTACTTCATCCTGCATTATATCAAAAGCAGGGCTTCAAAAATCCCCTCAGCTTAGCAAGCAAAGCCAGATTTAGCACAGCGGCTAGCCAGCTGTTTAATATGAACCAGGTCGATCAAAAAAATGAAAATAAACAAAGAAAAAATAAAAAGAATGAAAATAAAAAGACAAAGAAGAAGAGGGAGAGGAAGAATAATACGAATAAGAAGAGGAAGGAAAAGAAAAAAGAAAGAAGAAAAAAAAAAGGATAAGAAGCACCATCATGAGGACGGGGAGATGAAGAAGAAGAATGGGAAAAGGAGGACGAGACTACCAAAAGTAATCAGATACAAACATACCTCAAAATCATACTTCTTTTCCCATTGAAGCTGCTTGCGGGCCTTTGAAGGATCTCCTAATAAAAGTTCCTGAATTTAAAAAAAAATTTTTAAACATACTGAGCAACAAACATTCTGTATAACAGTAGTTTCTAAAAAGTGTTGAACTGCTGGCTTTTGAGTGATGTATTAACAACATTCAACACCAATCAACTCACTGTGCTTTCATGGGTTACTCCTTACATAAGAGGCTATTCTTAGACACAGAGTTTTCCATCCCGCTGTCACAACAGTTGATAAGATCCCAAATGCTATTTTAACTATTTTTCCCCCTTAATGTCATTATTTTAATCCCCCAGGATCAAAACATTATTTACTGCAGGTAACAGGCATTTAGGAGTCAATGAGCTAAACTGATACCTGTCTGTGGCTGAAGGAGTTAAAAGGCAGCAACATCTTACTTCTTAGTATCTGAAAGCAACCAAGTATGTAAGGTCTAGGGTGCCTACCCCGAAAAGCCGCTGGAGATTTCTTCGTTGGATGTGCTGCTCATACTTGCATTCCTGTATAATTTAACACCTGAGCACACCTGGCCCAGCAGCAGCAAACACACCTGGCCCAGCAGCAGCAAGCACACCTGGCCCAGCAGCAGCAAACACACCTGGCCCAGCAGCAGCAAACACAGCTGGCCCAGCAGCAGCAAGCACACCTGGCCCAGCAGCAGCAAACACACCTGGCCCAGCAGCAGCAAGCACACCTGGCCCAGCAGCAGCAAACACACCTGGCCCAGCAGCAGCAAACACACCTGGCCCAGCAGCAGCAAGCACACCTGGCCCAGCAGCAGCAAACACACCTGGCCCAGCAGCAGCAAACACACCTGGCCCAGCAGCAGCAAACACACCTGGCCCAGCAGCAGCAAACACACCTGGCCCAGCAGCAGCAAGCACACCTGGCCCAGCAGCAGCAAGCACACCTGGCCCAGCAGCAGCAAGCACACCTGGCCCAGCAGCAGCAAACACACCTGGCCCAGCAGCAGCAAACACACCTGGCCCAGCAGCAGCAAACACACCTGGCCCAGCAGCAGCAAACACACCTGGCCCAGCAGCAGCAAGCACAGCTGGCCCAGCAGCAGCAAGCACACCTGGCCCAGCAGCAGCAAACACACTTGGCCCAGCAGCAGCAAGCACACCTGGCCCTAAGCAGCAAACACAGCTGGGACTATTTCGAAGACAGGTCCTATAAACTTTAATATCACTAACATCCTCATCATCATGTAGCAGGTCCTTTGTAGAACGCCACCCCCGTCACAGTCTGCCTGAAAGAAACTCGGTCTCTCGCCAGCTCTCCCGCCTCATGTACTTTCATTCTCAAGGAGTCACTTATATCCTGTGCCCATCTTCGTGTTGGTCGGCCCCTGCCCTCTTTCCTGGTACCATGCCTTCTGTTATTATTTCATCCACTCCATCATGGCGCTTCCTTAGCCAATCTTCCTTGATGTTTAGATCTTTCAAGATGTCAGTATTTATACTCTTCTTTGTCTAAGATATTCTGAGAATCTTTCAATAGCATTTCAGCTCAAAGGCCCCTATTCTCTTAAGGACTCACATCTGTATGTTGCTACAGGGAAAATGCATGCTCTCAGATTAATATCACTAACATAAAGTAAAATTATTGACGATTCCCATCTTCCACATTTTAGTCCCTGCGTAAACTTAGATGAATAGCCCTTGGTGCTTTAAGAATACCCTAACCCAAATGACATCACAGGATAGTCCAATATTTTAGAGGGTGGTAAGACTGGGTTTCCCGGCTTTCTGATGCTTTTAACGACCCCAAAACATCTAGAACTGGCTCTAACCCCAACCCACCTATGTCCCACCAGAGAGTGCAGCCTAGGTCCCACGACTGCATGCAGCTTAGGTCCCACGACTGCATGTAGCCTAGGTCCCACGACTGCATGCAGCCTATCTACCACCCCCTGAAATATTAGACTGTCCTGTGATTTGTGGATTTTCCCTTTTTGGCATATGATATTAATAAAGCACTTAGCTCTGTTATAGAGTTATAAAGAGTATTTAAGATACAAGAAAGACACAAAGTTTAACAAAGAGAAATATATAAATCCTTCGCTGAAACTTACAACTTCTGTAGGCCTGTAGTATTTGGGGTTGATCCTTACAAGGATGTCTCCAGTGGTCTTGTCTCTCCCAATCTCATCTACCCCTGTACCTTCCCACCTGTAATGAAACACAATAAATGACTGTTCTGAAACCCAGAATTCAACATTGCTGTTGTAGCCGAAGGCACCAGTCCATCTTTGAGATGATATTCCACTGTGCTATAGGGAGGCATGGGAACTGCAGCCCTTGGAAAGACTAATTATGGCACGGGATAAAGTTCTTCCTCTCCACTATATGTTGAATGCTGAATTAAGAATCAACATCACAGCACTTGGGACACCCCAATAAGCGCTCCGTCCCCATCTCCAGCAGCAAGCGAAGAGTTAAAATTCTGATGGCACCAGTAACTGTCCGACTGTAGATCCATCTCGCCTTTCTCCTGAGTGTCGAGCGTCGGCCAGATCCCCTTATAACTCCTCGCAGTGCCATTCTCCTCAGACCGTAATGATCTACCTGTTCCTCGGCACTGTTCACTCGCTCCTAAAAGGCCCTCATAACATCCAGCTTGTCATACATCAGTTCACCACCAAGTGGTGCAGAACTGGCCAGTCTATCTTCCTGCTCGTTTCCCAACACACCAGCACTATATAAAACCTGGGCAGCATTGTAGAGATGTTGTGTTGCCCAAGCACCATGATCCATCTGTTGTTAACTCCAAAGGAAAGTTTATAGAGATGATGAACTGCCATTGAAAAAGAGTACTGAATTAGGAAAAGCCTGCAGAAACCGTGTATGGTGCAAAGAAAGAAGCTATGCCAGCCACCTCCTGCTGGGTATATTAAACAAGGAGACTCTGCGATCGCTGCTGCATTAGAAGTCGAAGCACAAGTGGGTTGCACCAATGAGCTAGGATGTTTATACAGACAGCAAGAACAAAGGAAAGGTAACTTCTGAAGGCCTGTAGAATCCATCAGTACAGGTTCTATTTACCTCTGCTGGCAAATGCCTATGAGAATTTTGTACACGAGACATAATTATCAGTCTGCAGGCTAAGTGGTTTTTAAGTGTTATCTCGCACAGACACACAGAAACAGACTTACTGAGACTGCCAGATAGGAAACGAAATCTGGCATGCCGCGGGGCACAATGGCCGTATGCTTCCCTGCTTACCTAAACGTTGGGTTCAAATCTGCATCCAGTGAGATTTTTTCTTCTGTTTGTAAACTGACCTTGGCTCCAAGGTTGACCCAGCCTTAAATAGGCATGAGGGTAAATGTAAAGGTGGCCACTGTGAAGTGGACTTCATCCCCGACTGTGTGCCGATTGGTTTTTAAAAACTGGCATCAAATGACTGAGGCATCATTGGGATGATGAATGTTGAATGCTGAATTAAGAATCAACATCATAGCACTCTGGACACCCCCATAAGCACTCTGTCCCCATCTTCAGCACCAAACGAAGAGTTCCAAATCGGATGGCACCAGTAACTGTCTGACTGTATATCCATCTCGCCCCTTCCCTGAGTGTTGAACATTGGCCAGATTGCCTGGTAACTCCTCGCCACACCATTCTCCTCAGACCATAATGATCTATTTGCGCTTCCACACTGTTCACTCGCTTCCAGAGGGCCCTTACAACGTCTAGCTTGTCCTACATCAAAATCCCCACCAAGCGGTGCAGAACTAGCTAGTCTATCCGCCTGCTTATTTCCCAACAAACCGGCATAACCTGGAGAGAATATCCAAAGGATACTAACTACCCGGTTCCTCTGAAGTGATGCTTGCTACTCTGCATGGAGCATACCTGTCTCCATCTTTCTCAACATGCTTTGTGAGTCAGTGACAAACACTGCATGTGTGCACAGTTGATTCTCAAGCCAACGGAAGGCTTGGGCTGTTAAGGGTCCTTTATAATTTTGTTTAAAAATTACTTGGCCAGTATGTGTGTGTGTGTGTATACATGTGTGTGTTTCAGAGAGAGAGAGAGAGAGAGAGAGAGAGAGAGAGAGAGAGAGAGAGAGAGAGAGAAAGAGAGAGAGAGAGAGAGAGAGAGAGAGAGAGAGAGAGAGTGAGAGAGAGAGAGCCAACTAACAAACTTTATTTTCAAAGGATCACCAATCGGGCATGAAAGCCCGTCTCACATTCGGCCCTTCCAAACACCCATCTTTCACACAGCCCACCTACTCACCCCTATCTAACTGACACTTATGTATGTACAAACACACATATATATATATATATATATATATATATATATATATATATATAAATGCATACATACTGAATTACACAGTACAGTCTCATACAAATATACATACGTACACACACTAATACATATATACATACACTAATATATATATATATATATATATATATATATATATATATATATATATATATATATATATATATATATATACACATATATACATACAGCAGAGAGAGAGAGAGAGAGAGAGAGAGAGAGAGAGAGAGAGAGAGAGAGAGAGAGAGAGAGAGAGAGAGAGAGAGAGAGAGAGAGAGAGAGAGAGAGAGAGAGAGAGAGAAAGAGACAGACAGACAGACAGAGTGTGGTTTTGCACATATGTGTGCATCTTTCCTTTTCTCTTGCTGACCTTATTAGTAATTTGTTTCAGTATCAGTTAAATTTAGGTCTTTTTTTTTGGAGGGTGGGGAGGGGGGGGGGATCCTTCAATGCCAACATAATCATATTTTTCATTTGCATTTGACTTCTAATGAAAAAAGCTGTCACTCATTTTTAGGTCATAAATGGAGGTTATAACCTCCCTCCCATTCTGGAAGTTAACAAAGTGCTCTAGACTTACCCTATGACCTTTCCAACATATTGGAAGTTAACAAAGTTGCTCTAGACTTACACTATGACCTTTATATAAAACGACCTTTCCAACAAACTGAAAGTTATCAAAGTCTCACTAAACTTTTAATATAACCATTCCTACATGCTGGAAGTTAAAGCTACTCTAGAATAACGCTATTACCTTCCCCCCACACAATGCAGTCAAGCTAATAACAAGAAACTGCCCAACCCTGGTTTACCAACATCGTATAGCATCAAGGAGAACTGGCTCATAAACATCATCCTCTCCCAAAAGCTGGGGTATTTCGGACATGTCAAGTGCCATGGTGGACAGGTGCCATGGTGGACTAGAGAGAACGGTGCTGGAGGGTACAGTTTCCAGAAAATGATGCAGAGGCTGAACTCCACAAAGGGGGAATACAAGACACTGAAGATGCATTGGCTATTAAAGCACACAGGGCTGGAGAACTAGCTAGAGAAAGAGAGACTTGCAGGCTTTCAGGTGTGCCATGAACACAGGGACATTCTGTAAAGGACATGACAATTGATTTATTATATCGGCCAGCCTATGGATCATGCTGATATTATTAATGCCCTCAGAGAAAAGGGAAGGATAGAGGACTTTGGGGGCAGTGGATCCACATTACTTGCCAGAATGGCAGACTTGGGAATTAAGATTGGAATAGCAAAAAACGAGACGCACACCAGAAGTCTTGTTAATCAACATAGAACTGGTACTATTAGCCATCGGACATTGGGGTTCATACTGAGGGGAGGATCTGAGCACCTATGGACATGTCCGGAGTGCAATGATGATAACCCAGCTAACTAACTAAGTGCTTTGCAGAACCTCACTTTCATGGCATTCCAGAAACCATTTTGTGTGAGGACTGGTGCCGGAATACTCTGCCCCTTGTTATATATTGTTGTTGCGGTTTTTGTCCAGGAAAAACTGAAGCTGAAATGACCGATTTTGCATCTGTGTCTACACTGCTCTTTTTCATTAAGCTTCTTGGAAGTTAAGTGGTCTCCGTGGCAAAGTGGCCAAGCTGTTTGCTTCGTACTTGGAAGGTTGTGGGTCTGTTTCATGGGGGCGCCGTTGAGTTCACAATTTTTTTACGGAGATCCCTGGGGATTGTCGCCGGAGCTATGAAGGTCATGCTCTTGGCAAGCAGCTAGCTGTTCTGCGGAAAGAGACTGAGCAAAATGAGATAAAACCTGGTGCAATGAAGTCGACCCTTTCACTTTCACCTTCAGTGAACGCCTTCTTAGAAGTTAAGAAAATTGCTCTGGACTTACACTATAACCTTTCCCACAAACTGGAAGGCTAACTCTACAAACTCCCGCACACTGTGAGTTTCTCCAGTGGCTACAACATAATCTTCCGGTACCTCAGCTTGTAGCATCAACCACATGGCCTGGAAAAGACAAGTGAAATATGAGAAGTCTGGAAGCTAAGAATGGATAATTTACAACAATGAATGAGACACACACTTGAGCCCCATTTATTATTAATCTTACATTTAACATTTACTTTAAACAAATTTAATAAGCTAAAAAAAAATAAAAAAAAATTTATTATTGGAAAAGATAGGTAAAATACTGACGAGTTTTGAAGCCATGAATGGATGCTTTAAAGGAATGAATGAGATACTGTTTATTATTAATCAATATTTCAAGGGAATGAATGAGATACACAAGTGAACATCATTTATTATTAATCTTACATTTTCAAAGTGTAAATTTGTAGAGATCTCTAGAGATATCATTGCTAGAGCTAGAACTCATACTTTGTGTGGCTAGCTAGACTGCGGAAAGAGACCGAGCAAAAAGCCATGCAATGAAATTGTTACTCTTGACTTGAAAACTATTAGAAACAAAATGAAGCAGGATGTTTTACTGCACTGCTTTATGCTCTGATTGCGAAACTTTAGTCTTCTTCCTCTATGTTTGCTCTTAAAAGAGCAGATGGCATGCTGTGTTGCGATTTGCAGCTAGGCTGCGATATCTGCACATCTACGACATGCTTGTTAAGGGGGAGTTGGTCTTTTCTTTTCTCTCTATCAAAATGAAAGCCCCAGAACCCATACGGAAAAGGACTGGGTTATGAGTTAAGAACTGGTATCAGTGCACATGGGGCATTCCCATAAGCGCTATATTCCCATCTTCAGCAGCAAGTGCAGAGGAAAGGACTGTAGTGATGCTTCTACTTCTAGTCCATGTCACTGGCACTGGTAAACAAGTCTATTCAGTCTTCTCGCAGTATCATTTCTGATAAACACGTTCTTCTATTCCAGGATGCCAAACAATCCAACACCTTTTCTCTGACAAAAACAACAATCAGATTTTACCTCTATGTAATCGTTGGCATGTCCCCAGTCTCTTTTAGCATTCAGGTTTCCCAGCTCGAGATCTTTCTGCTGCCCTAATATAATCTTGGCCACTGCTCTGGTGATTTTCCTTGTGACGAATGTCTCACCTTATTAAACACATAAAAGATGTTGATTATCATATCAACTGTGCATGTGCAAACAAGCAGTAATTAATCATTGTTAGTTTTGTTTTGTTTATTTGTTTGTTTTGCAAAAAGGTTACTGCCATTCAACACATATTTGATTTAAACACACACAAGATTTTGATTATCACACAGCTGTGACAAAACAACACTTAATCACTATTGGTTCACTATTTATCATTTCTTCTATACTTCCCTGCCTTTTTAGGATGAAATTGTTCGTTATTGAAGCCCTACTCTGGCTTTTGCCAGGGGCCACAATAGCCTGGCCTAAAGGCAGAACGCGGTTTCTGGGACCTCTCCACGGTGATCCTCACCCACAAGGTGGCACATTGTGTCATCGGGTGTTTATCGCTTGTGTGGTGTCCTGGTGAGGTAGAAAGTCAGTCAGTCAGCTATCATTTCTTCTTCTTCCCGTTCACCAGTGGTAAACTGCAGCGGAAATTTCTGATTGATTTTACAGTTATGGAGTTTTGTCTTATTCCAGAGCCTGTTTTGCTTGTACATCTGTTGTTTTGTTTTCCCAGCAGATCCACTCCAATTCTGAAGGAACAACCGTTAATTAGTTACCTTTTATGACATGCTAGTTGGGGGGGGGGGGGGGGGGGGCACTTGGCTCAATTCATATTCCACCCAGTACTTTAATCTTGTTACACATCACACACTCTGCCAGAAGGGCACAATGTTAGATGAGCTTGCATGCACAATTTTTAGCCCTCTGGAAATAAAGTTTATTAGTTTCTTCATTTATCGTCCTCTTTTTCATTGATTACTTTAATCTCATTTCACATAACACTCCTTGCTTTAATCTCACTGCACACCATACACTCTACTTTAATCTCAATACACATCCCACACCCTTTTTTAATCTCATTTCATACCCCACAGAACAGCCTTAAAAGTCTATGGTTAAGCACCAGCAAGGAGATTAAAATTAGAATTTTGAGAGCATGCATCTTCCCTGTGGCTACATACGGATGTGAGTCATGGACTATCTCTCAGTCCTTAAGAAAGAGAATAGGGGCTTTTGAGCTGAAATGCTATAGAAAGATTCTCAGGATATCTTGGACAAAGAAGAGGAGAAATATCTTGAAAGATCTGAACATCAAGGAAGATTGGCTAATAAACGGCATCCTGTCTCGGAAGCTGAAGTATTTTGGTCATATCAAACGCTATGATGGATTGGAAAAAATTATAGCAGAAGGCATGGTTCCAGGAAGGAGGGGCAGGGGCCGACCGACACGAAGATGGGCACAAGATATAAGTGACTCCTTGGGTATGAAAGCCCATGAGGCGGGAGAACTAGCGAGAGACCGAGTTATTTTCAGGCAGACTGTGATGAGAGCGACGTTCTGCAAAGGACCTGCTACAGGATGATGATGATGACATACCCCAAACCCTTTTTTAAATCTTATTACAGACTCTACACCCTTTTTTAATTTCACTACATACCCCACACCATACTTTAATCTACTCCACACAGTATTGTAATCTCACTTTACATCACATACTGCTTTATCTCCCTGCACATCAGACACCCTGACTTAAACCCATTGCAGCAAACCATCACACAATCCTAAGGGATCAGAAACCATTACTTTCACAACAAAATCAAATCTGACACCATGACATGCCCTTCATCACTGTAGCTGTAAGCATCAAATGACCACCTATGGCAATCAATACACCTTTAAATGTTTCAGGTGTCTTCCAATCAATGGTAGCTTCTTTTATGACATAATTATTGGTGTTTTCAAGTGTAGTTAACAGCTCAAATGTATGTCTTTGTTAGCTCGTAAAAAAGCAACAGCTGTAGAAAGTGCATAGCTTCTGCAGTAGTGGGAGCCATAGTAGTTTAGTGGCTGAACGTCTGTCTGCATGCCCGAAAGTTTACAGTTCAAATTCGCACTAGGTAGATTTAAAAAACAAACACAATAAAACAGTGACAGTGACTCAGCTTAAAGCATGCACTAGTAAATAACTAGAAAATCTGGCCGGCAAACACACACATGTAACAGCAGCCACATAAACACACAAACCCACAGAGGAAAAGGTAACCACACAAACCCACAGAGATAAAAAAATACCCACACAAACCCACAGAAAAAAAGGTAGCCACACAAACCCACACATGTAACAGCAGCCACACAAACACACAAACGCACAGAGGAAAAGGTAACCACACAAACCCACAGAGACAAAGGTAACCACACGAACCCACAGAGGTAAAGGTAACCACACAAACCCACAGAGACAAACGTAACCACACAAACCCACAGAGGTAAAGGTAACCACACAAACCCACAGAGACAAAGGTAACCACACAAACCCACAGAGACAAAGGTAACCACACAAACCCACAGAGACAAAGGTAACCACACAAACCCACATAGACAAAGGTAACCACACAAACCCACAGAGACAAAGGTAACCACACAAACCCACAGAGACAAAGGTAACCACACAAACCCACATAGACAAAGGTAACCACACAAACCCACAGAGACAAAGGTAACCACACAAACCCACAGAGACAAAGGTAACCACACAAACCCACAGAAGTAAGGCAACCACACAAAACTGCATGTGCAAATACAGAAACAAAAATCCCTACTAGGTAGGAGAGAGAATGATCCCACACTAAGTAATACTCACTACTATAACCACCCCCCTCCCTGCCCACCCCACGCCCGCCCCCTTTATAACATTAACTCACTAGGTAACCACACAACCTGATACAAGTAAATGCAACTACACAATCCGGCACAAGCAATTACAATAAAAAGCTCCACTACAAGACACAAAATCCCACAAAGGCACAAATATCATAAATCTAACTCTCCCCTCACTGGGAGCTTCAGCTTACCTCTCCTGGGGCTCTCGTGGTTAAAGAGGATCCCGTTACAGGCAAACATGTTGTAAGCCTCTCTATAGTTGACAACTATCCAGTAGGCATACAGTTTAGCCACACCTGAAAAGGGACAGAGAAGCATGGTTCAGGTCTGTATGTAATAATTGAAACATGACCTACAGCTAAGCCCATTCCTTGCTAACTAACATGTCATAAAGGGAATATATCGGCTGCTACTAAAGACAACCACCACTTCTATCATCATCACCATCACCACGATAATCCTCCTAATCATTGCTATCACTACTACTACCACAATCATTTTCATCACCACCACCACAATAATCATCCTAATCATTGCTATAACTACTATTACAACAATCAATCATCATCCCCACCACCACCACGATAATCATCCTAATCATTGCTATCACTACTATTACAACAATCAATCATCATCCCCACCACCACCACGATAATCATCCTAATCATTGCTATCACTACTATTACCACAATCAATCATCATCACCACCACCACCACGATAATCATCCTAATCATTGCTATCACTACTATTACCACAATCAATCATCATCACCACCACCACCACGATAATCATCCTAATCATTGCTATCACTACTATTACCACAATCAATCATCATCACCACCACCACCACGATAATCATCCTAATCATTGCTATCACTACTATTGCCACAATCAACCATCATCATCATCACCACTACCATGATAACCATCTTTATCATTGCTGTCACTACTATTACCAGAATCAATCAATCATCATCACCACCACCACCACAATAATCATCTTCATCATTGCTATCACCACTACCACCAGAATTATCATCATCACCACTATAACAACAATTCCTGTCAGTCAGCACAATTTCCTATATCACCATCGCAATCCCCAGCATATTATGACTCACTACAATCCCCAGCATATTATGACTCACTACAATCCCCATCATATTATGACTCACTACAATCCCCAGCATATTATGACTCACAACAATCCCCAGCATATTATGACTCACTACAATCCCCAGCATATTATGACTCACTACAATCCCCATCATATTATGACTCACTACAATCCCCAGCATATTATGACTCACTACAATCCCCATCATAGCAAAGTTACCATAATGGTCAACACAATTCCGATGATGGCAGTTACCATTATGATCAATATCACAATTCCTAGGAGCCGCGCAGGGCAGTCGATAGGAGGCTAGCTTTCAAATCCAGCTGCGACTCACTGCAGCCACAGTCGGTGTTTGAAACTGGGTGGTTCCCGGGGTTCACCCAGCCTCTAGGAAATGGGTACCAGAGTTGACACTCTGGGGTAAATGGAGGAACGTCGCTGTAGCTACAGAGTTACGTGCGGACGGCGACACAGGCGGACAGTTTCTTATCAGCTGTCTGTACTGGTGGCAGAGCACTTATGGTTTATAACCGTGTGCAATGACGCTGGTTCACATCTCCCGACTTCACCTTTTTACCTTTACCTTTATCACAATTCCTATCATGGCAAAGTTACTTTTATGATCAAAAACCCTAATCCCCATCATGAAACAGTTACCATAATGGTCAACATCACAATACCCATCATAACCGCACCACAACTTCCCATCAAATTTTCATCACAATCTCCACCTTAACCCCCTATCACATCAACTCCACTACCATCAGCAGCACAAACCCCATCACATCACCTCCACCACCACAATCCCCATCACATCACCTCCACCACCACAATCCCCATCACATCACCTCCACCACCACAAACCCCATCACATCACCTCCACCACCACAATCCCCATCACATCACCTCCACCACCACAATCCCCATCACATCACCTCCACCACCACAATCCCCATCACATCACCTCCACCACCACAAACCCCATCACATCACCTCCACCACCACAATCCCCATCACATCACCTCCACCACCACAATCCCCATCACATCACCTCCACCACCACAATCCCCATCACATCACCTCCACCACCACAATCCCCATCACATCACCTCCACCACCACAAACCCCATCACATCACCTCCACCACCACAATCCCCATCACATCACCTCCACCACCACAATCCCCATCACATCACCTCCACCACCACAAACCGCATCACATCACCTCCACCACCACAATCCCCATCACATCACCTCCACCACCACAATCCCCATCACATCACCTCCACCACCACAATCCCCATCACATCACCTCGACCATAATTAACACCACAATCACAATCATAATAATTCCTCTGCCACCACCATGACCATTACAATCCCCATCAAATCACCTCCACCACAATAATCCCAATCTTATGCCCTCAATAGTCATCATCATCACCATAATCACCAATCACCTCCACCACCATCAACACCACAATCCCCAACACATCACCTCCCACCACCATAATCCCCATCGCATCACCTCCCACCACCATAATCCCCATCACATCACCTCCCACCACCATAATCCCCATCGCATCATTAGAATCATATCTACCTTCTTGAGCTTCCCCTCATCTCCAAATCAGCATATGTCCTCAACAAATTAAAGCCAAGTTGTCACATTCCCTAATGCCCTACCCAATATTTTCAAATTCACTGCCTTTATTTCTATGCCCCTGCGAGTCTCAGTGCAAAGACATTCTAGTTGTATATATTTCAGGTTTTTTTAAGGTGCACCTTATCCAATGCCAGTATATTTTCTTCACTCCCTGTTTTGCTGTAATTTCAATAATAACAACAGTATCATCAAAAAGTCTGCCTTAGCTTGCCAATATTCCAGGCAACCCCACATCTCCAGTTGAATGCAATCATGCAGGATATATTTCATGTCTATTTTTAACCCCCATTCTTTTCTGAAGCTACCCAAATATTGTGAGTAAGTACCTGCCATTTTTCTTCTTCTTCCATTTTCTCTTCTTTTTCTGCTGTTTTTATTTCACATAAAAAAAAAATCAAGATGACATGTTGTGTTTTAGTTTATTGTTAGGCTGCAATATCTGCATCTTTTTGGCCCAACACTTCCGACTTTAGCAATCAGTCAACCTTTAGGACATGCTTGCTAAGGGGGAAATGGGTCTATTTTGTCCCCACCAAAACTATGGACATAGAATGAATCAGAAATTACATTTCACAAGATCCTGTTTACTGTCAAATCAATTTTGTTTTATAGTGGTCCTTTTTTTTTTATCTCTAAGCCACATTTCTCCACCAAATGTCACCATATGGATTAGACATTTTAAACACTAGAGCCATAACAGTAAAGCTAACCACACAAACCTACAGAGGTAAAGCTAACCACACAAACCCAAAGAGGTAAAGGTAACCACAGAAACCCACGGAAGTAAAGGTAACCACACCAACCCAAAGAGGTAAAGGTAACAACAGAAACCCACAGAGGTAAAGGTAACCTCACCAACCCAAAGAGGTAAAGATAATCACACAAACCCACAGAGGTAAAAGTAACCACACAAACCCACAGAGGAAAAAGGTAACCACACAAACCCACAGAGGTAAAGGTAACCACACAAACCTACAGAGGTAAAGGTAACCACACAAACCCACAGAGGTAAAAGTAACCACACAAACCCACAGAGGTAAAAGTAACCACACAAACCCACAGAGGTAAAAGTAACCACACAAACCCACAGAGGTAAAAGGTAACCACACAAACCCACAGAGGTAAAGATAATCACACAAACCCACAGAGGTAAAAGTAACCACACAAACCCACAGAGGTAAAAGGTAACCACACAAACCCACAGAGGTAAAAGTAACCACACAAACCCACAGAGGTAAAGGTAACCACACAAACCCACAGAGGTAAAGGTAACCACACAAACCCACAGAGGTAAAAGTAACCACACAAACCCACAGAGGTAAAAGGTAACCACACAAACCCACAGAGGTAAAAGGTAACCACACAAACCCACAAAGGTAAAAGTAACCACACAAACCCACAGAGGTAAAAGTAACCACACAAACCCACAGAGGTAAAGGTAACCACACAAACCCACAAAGGGAAAAGGTAACCAGTAACTGGCATTTTTTTTTTAAACACTACGACAGACACACCAGCATATATTATCATCATCATGTGCCCTGTTGAAAAGTACAGGCATTTCTTTTAACAAAGGCGACAAAAACCAAATAGTGACAATTAAATACCTGACATGTTTCGCTGCATCTTGTCAGGTGTTACTGCAGTATGCACCTGGGATACACCGAAATAAGCCAGACAATTTATTGTGCAATCTACTGTTTGTGCCTTTGTTGTTGAAATTTACAACGGGACAACATAGGTGGTTCACCATTCCCCCATGATCATCAGAACTACAGATTAGGTCAATACTCTTATCTCGCTCTCAACCACGTGGGCAAGCCATCTAGGAATTATATTTCAGCACATATAGATTTACTTTCTGCCAAAAATATTTCAAATAAACAGGCTTCCGAGGCCCCAGCTTATTTCCAAACATTAGAGTATCAGTTTGTGCTATTAATCAATAGACACATATGCTGTCTATACTTAAGTGAGTGTTAGCATACATGTAGACGTCAGTACTCACCATATGGTGACCTGGGATAGAAAGGTGTTGTTTCTGACTGTGGAGTTTCCCTGACTAGGCCATACAGCTCACTTGTGGATGCTTGATAAAAGCGCACCTATTACATGACATACAGAAAAGTTATACTTGGTTACGCACTGATGAGGAACTGCAGAGATGAAGGTGAAGAAGAGAAAAGGAGTGATGTGTGGATTGTGAGGAGAGCTTTGCTGTTCAAATACCATGATGGACAAGGAGGCAGAGGATGAGAAATCGAAGGGAATTAGGAGAAACAAATACAGGAGGAGATACTGAAAGGAATTAAGAAGAGAAATGGAAGGGGTGGTGGTAGAGGTGGAGAAGGATGAGGAGGGAAGCAGGAGGAGGAGAAGAAGAGGAGGAGGAGGAGAAGATGAAGACAAAGACAAGGATGATGATGCAAAAAAAAGAAATATTAGGAGGCAGGGAAGAAGAGGAGGAAGAGGACAATGATGCAGAATAAAGTGACAGAAGAGAAGAAGAAGTAAAGAAGGGCAGAAATCTGTTTTTAACAACAACAAAATACCTTTTTTGCAAGGTGACAAGTTCTGACAGCATCCAACAACCTCAGTGTTCCCACAGCATCCACATCTGCTGTGTACTCAGCCAGCTCAAATGACACCTACATGATGAAATGATGTTTAGACAACTGGGGGCCAGGCTTACTTGTACAGGTTTCCTGATAATTAAAAAAAACTCACGGGACGGGCCATCTGCTTCTTCTAGGCAATGGCTATTCAACTGGCAACCCACGGGCCAAAGCTGGCCTACGAAGGCCTAGCAAGCGGTCCAAGGATCACTACCTGCTGTATTGTATTAATGATCTTTCTATGCTGGGGTTTGGACCACTGGCCCCTGACGACCATTTTTGCAAATTTTGGGCCTTGAGTAAACTGAGTTCAACAGCCTTTTTTCAAGGGCATGGTTCCCTAAAGTGGCTGATATTTTCTCTTGGGGGTGGAGGAGAAAGGGTGGTGGTGTGTGGGGACGGGGTGGAGGAAGGAGCAGTAGCACAATCCAGGAAGGTGGTACATGTTTATATATACAGAAGAAAGGGGGCTGAGTGGTCTCAGGGTATGACGACTGCCTCAAGTGCTGGAGGTTTCGGGTCCAAATTTAAGAAAGCAACCACATAAGTTAAGAACACACCACATAATTTAAGAAAGAAACCACATAAATTAAGAACACACCACATATTTTAAGAAAGAAACCACATAAGTTTAGAACACACCACATAATTTAAGAAAGACAACATACAATTTAAGAAAGACACCACATATTTTAAGAAAGAAACCACATAAGTTTAGAACACACCACATAATTTAAGAAAGACAACATACAATTTAAGAAAGGCACCACATAATTTGAGAAAGACACCACATTTAATTTAATTCTTGTGCTTCACAACTTAGCACTCATCGCCTGTAAAGTTCTGGTTGTTCACTCTTTTCTGGACTCTGATCTTATTCCAGAACTCAAGTTTTGTGTGTAACTTCCGGTCCTTTTTTAGGATGAAATTTTTCGTTATTTGAAGCCCAACTCTGGCTCTTGCCGGGGGCCGCAATATAGCCTGGCCATAAATATGGCCTAAAGGCTGAACGCGGTGTCTGAGACCTCCCCACGGTGATCCTCACCCACATGGTGGCACATTGTGTCATCGGGTGTTTATCGCTTGTGTGATGTCCTGGTGGGGTAGAAAGTTGGTCAGTTTTGTATGTGTATCAGTTTTACAAATACAGCTTATTTTCATGCGAACTGTTGGTTCCTTGCCTCTCAGGAAGATGCACTCTAGCTTTAAAGTAAATATCTCTAAAAAGTCACCTTTATGACATGCTTAGGGAGGACAATAAGTCTACTCCCCCCCCCCCCCCCCCCCCCCCCCCCAACCCCCTCCCATTCCCGACAATGCGGCCTGAAACTTAAATGGAGACAAAAATAAGGAAAATAAGTTTTTCATTGCAAAAATTATTACGTGATCTGGGTTAGAGTAAGAAGTATACCTTAACATGGCTCTGGGCGGCCAGATTGTAAATCTCTGAAGGCTGAATCTCACTAATAATTTTCACCAGACACGTGCTATCTGTCATGTCTCCATAATGAAGATGCATACCTGGCAGAGAAAAAAAAATGATACGGCTTTACAGAAACAATCGTTTTATCACAAGTTGCAGGATGCAAATAGAAATATCATAATCTTTACTGGTTATATCACTCTTCTTGGAAGAAAAGGCACAGTGCAAGATTTTAGGATTTCTGTGTGCTCTTTCTAATGCTTTTGCATTTTTATCTTCCTTTCTTTAATGCAGTTCTTGATACTGTCATGTCATTTTTACATGGATTTCCCCTTGCTCTGTATTCTTTACATTTCTTCAGTCCAGCTGTCTACGGCAGTTGGTACCAGGGTATCCTCGCTTGTGCAAACAAAAAGAGCTGGTTTTGCAATTTTCAAAATGTCATGCAATCAAGCGGCTAATCTGAAATATCTGGTGTGGGATGAACATGTAACTACAGACATTGTGATCCGTGTATTTCAGTGGAAAGGATTGATTTCTGAGCTTCACTATGTGTGACTGGTGATGCATCTAGTAATGATGAGAGAAGATGAATTATACCTGGCCAAAAAAAATCGTGCAATGTACTGCTTGTGTCCACATTATTTAGATTTAATTACTCACTAAATCCAGCAAGATAATCAAAGTAGTGTTTTTTTTTGGGGAAAGGGGGGGGGGGGAGGGATGCATCGTCTCTGTAGAAACATAAAGATGTAAGTCCTGGACTATCTCACATGCTACAGAAAGATTATCAGATTACCATGGGAAAAGAAGGGAAGAAATTCTGACATTTTAAAAGATCTGAACATCAAGGAAAGTTGGCTAATAAACAGCATCTTGTCTCTGAAGCTGAAATAATAGCAGAAGGCATGGTACCAGGAAGGAGGGGCAGGGACCCACCAACACGAAGATGAGCGCAGCGTTTAAGTGACCCAGCCTTGTGTGGGTACCGGGTGCAGTCCCAGAAAGTAGGGGTAGCCGGTATGATGCTGACCACATCACTCATCTTGTGTTGATTGGTCTATAAAATAGAGGTCTAGCCCTATATGACCTATACACCTAAAGGTGTGGAAAAGGGAAAGTGACTTTCAGCCAAAATGCCAGATAGCTGGCTGACTGCAGATGCTCTGAATAGGTTTCCAGCTAGGTTCTGCTGATGCAAACCTCATTTCTTGACTGGGATTAAAAAGGTTTCCAGCTAGGTTCTGCTGATGGAAACCCCATTTCTTGACTACGATTCAAAAGGTTTCCAGCTAGGTTCTGCTGATGCAAATTCTCATTTCTTGACTAGGATTCAAAAGGTTTCCAGTTAGGTTCTGCTGATGGAAACCCCATTTCTTGACTACGATACAAAAGGTTTCCAGCTAGGTTCTGCTGATGCAAATTCTCATTTCTTGACTAGGATTCAAAAGGTTTCCAGTTAGGTTCTGCTGATGGAAACCCCATTTCTTGACTAGGATTCAAAAGGTTTCCAGCTAGGTTCTGCTGATGCAAATCCTCATTTCTTGACTAGGATTTAAAAGGTTCCATCAGCGAGCCACTGGCTGGTAGCCGATTATGTTCAGAATGACGTGCACTTTTCCCGGTGCAATGCTGACTTACACGACTTACTATATGCAACAACAGTGTGGAACCGTTAGTGTTGGCACAACTGACAGCTGCCTTGCCTTATTCATTTTTACTTCGCGTGTGCATGCTTCAAGATTTTGCTGGCACTGACAAGTTTTTCCCCAATTTCCAAACTGGACAATGAAGGAAATTTTGTGTGATTTCCAGTGGCACAAGAATGGAGCAGGCCTGTGGTGACCCATCTGTGGTGATGCTGAACTAACTAACCAACATAAAAGTTTCTCCGCGTTCAAGCATCAATTACGCTGTCTCACCAGTAATGAAGTTAAGCATGGACTATAAATAATGCAGATATAGAACTAAATAATTGGCTAGGTAATGAAGAAGCAAAGCAAGCAAACAGAAAATGACCTAGCGTTAATTTATAAATATCCACAGAGAAATCAACACTGCTTATTATACCATATTTGTAAATGTACAGGAGATATTCTCCCTCAAGTTCGTTAAAATTAAAATTGAATACTGTCTTATGCACAGAATGTGCTTTTAATATTTATATCTTAACTCTGGGCTAAAAAAAAAAAAAGATTCATTTTTTCATTTCAGAGATCATCTTGCTCACATATCAGACACGACCATAAGTGCTCTGATCCACTCCTGAGTATGTCTCCAAGTGTTTTTAGGCTAATAACCCCCATGATGGGTGACTCCTGCATGGCTTTCCTGTCTCGCTGCTCCAATTGGTACACCCAGGGTATGCAACCAATTCAGTGAAAAATCATTTTCCACAAAACTGAAAGCCTCACAGCGTTTAGTCTCTCCTATGATATTGATGATGCCTCTCCTGTCCATACAAGGCTCATTCCTGATAGTCGGACTGCCAGCCAGAGCATCTGCTCTCTCAATGCCTTTCACACCAGCATACCCTGGGACTAAAATTAAGGTGATTTTGCAAAAATGTCTTATAGCTGTTGTCTTATACTCAGGGGGTGTATACATGAAAAAAAGAGTCTAAAGCAAAATGTCTTGTTCACCTTTTGCTCCATGCTGTATACATAACAAAGCAAATATCACAAGTGAACAAAATAGCTATTTTTGTGTGTCAGCTGATCAAGTGGGATTGTAATTTGGTCAAATCATACAAATGGTTCCTGTTTGAATAACACGGTTTGTTTTTAGTCTTGGCCATAATAAAATTGGTCTCATTATATAATGGCCAGACTGTGCATGCATGTCTTATCTTTCCCTAAATTAAGTTTTCTAATTATAGCTGAATGTGTGTGTCATAACTGTTTATATATATATATTTATATATAGCTTCATCGCAGCCAGTTCTATTTTTGTCAACCACTATTAAGCTTGATGTGGTCAAAGTATTTTTATTTTCTGAAATATATGGTTTATGAGCTTTACAAAAATGCAGAGGGTCTTTTCGAGTATCTTGTATTTTATATCATTCTGGAGTTTATTATTATTTTATTTTATTGTTTATATAATTCTGTTAGGAAACATCCCTAACTAGTTGCCTTGTATTAAACACCCTCCCCCCCTTCCCTCAAAACACATGACCCTGGAACCTAAACAGGAAAGTTTGTTTGTTTGTTTTAGTATCCAGAAGCCATGAGTTGTTAACCCTTAGGCTCGGTATTATGGATATCGCAACCTTTCGGCCTTGATTGTAAATACCGTAAATCTGGGAGAAAATGTGGCTTTCCTGCCTACCCCCGGGATTGAACCCGGACCACAAGGAGTACGTCACCCGGTCTCCGCGAAATCCGGTTTAGCCAATTCCGCTAGAGAGCCGGGCAAACAGGAAAGTAAGGATAACACTGAAATTGTGTTGTTGAAAATTCTTTTTTATTACAAACAAATTTTAAAAAAAAAAACATAACTTGGACACAACCAACGAAACATCTACAATGTTGTGTACAATAATCAAAACTCATTAAAAATACTAGGAAATGATACAAAAAAGATGTTAGCTACTTTTAAAATGATTGATGCTGCAGTATTTGATGGTTAAGTGCTATGTAATACAAATTAAATTCATCCAAAATAGTAGGCCATGATATCAGAAAGCTGTTAGCTACACATAAAATAACATATGCCACAGTAATTACAAGTGTAAAAACTATTAACTATTTCAATCTCTCAATCCCTGTAATTTGTGCACCATATGATCAATTGGGGAAATTTTTATTTGGCATTCATTCAAAGATTTAAATGTGTTCTTTTCTTTACAAAAATTCTGCAAAATGTGCGCGTTTTGGCCAACACATTTGACTTTTACAGGCATTTGTTGCTCGAGTTAGCCTTCCAAATAAGTTCTGTGGGACAATGCAGTCAACAGGAGAAATAACTGCCATGAAAACTTCCATAAGCATTATATATTCAAAGTAGCCATTTGAATAGCCAGATTTTTTAGCTGATTCTGGCCAAATATAAACTGAAGACAACACACTCTGTGATGACTGGGATTAATGACACTACACATTCTCTAAAACCGAAAAAGTTTAAACACTCTAGACAACACAAGTACTGGGGATGTTTTCTATCCCTATAAGGAAGCAGTGATGCAAACTGACAGTCTGGATATGTTAATGAAGATGGCTGGAGACTAAACTTTAGTATCTTTTGTGATGTTTCTTGTTTTGCTGATTCTACAAATTTATTCAATTCTCTTATGAGACCAAAACAATTAGAGTTACATTCAAGAGGATCCACTTTAAAATCAGAACGTTTGGTCTCTGACGCATGCGAACTTCCCTTTCATATACCCATATATTGCACACAACAGTCTCTACCTGCAATATGACCAGCTGCCAGCCGCCAGCATCACACAAATCATGAACTCCATAGATCCAGCAACAATCCCTAGAAATCTTCATAAAATTGACCGCATTAACCGAATAACGTGTCCATGAATTGAACCCTTGACCTTCAGAGCACAAAGCAAATGGCTTGATCACCTTATCACAGAGAAAACCCCAAGAAACAACAACAAAAACTAGTAAAGGGGTGGTCTGTTGAACTAAGTTTGCTTGTTTCTGGCCTGCCTATTGGTTTTGGCATGTGACCTTTAAACCAACACTATAATCCTGCTGGTTTGAACTATGCTTTAATTCAATACCCTCTTGCTGCAGGTCTGTCATGCACTGACTGTTGCATGGGAGAGCCTTTAATCTGACAGCATCATCCTGCTGGTTTGTCCTGTAGGAAGTTATCCTTGGGGGAAAACTTGCATTCAAAATGTCGAGTCGCTGGTTTGTCCTGTAAGAACTGTTCCATGGAGGACATTTTCATCCAGCATCATCATCCATCTAGATTGTCCTGTAGGTACTATTTCTTGGGGACATTTTAACCCAACAGCATCATCCCGCTGGTTTGTCCTGTAGGAACTTTTCCTTGGGGGGCACTTTGGCTAGCTAGCTAGTCCACAGATTATCCTCAATGCACATTTAACCATTCAGTCCATAAGTGCTCAGATCCC